TGAATGGGGAGAAGTTACGATATCGAGCTTTTAATATACTTGTACTTTGGGTTATGCACCTATCAGTAACTAAACATTTAGAAAATTCAGATCTAAGAATGGAGAAATAAAGGTCATTTTTATTTTCTCATGTTTTCTTAATCAGCTCATATCTTCTTCGTTTTAACTCGGATTTCAATTTTTTTTGGCACAGATGGAACGAGTTCGTTGTACTGTACAAAGTGAGATCCATTTTCAATATTTTTTGAGAAAAAAAAATTATTGCCTTTCGGTACCAACTGCATAGCATATGGTATTTTCTTCGTTTTTAATTCGTTTTTGAAAATTTTTGCATAGAAGGAACGAGTTCATCATGATCTATTGGATCTACAAATTTCTAGGTGGACAAAACACAGGATCAAACAATACCACACAATACCACCCTGGTACAAGGTGGTATCTTGTGGTACACAATGTTAAAAGTTGTAAATGACAGTTAATATACTTCTACTATCATGTATTCAACCATCCTACAGTCTTGGTTTGTTCATACCACCATGGTACACTTTTAAAACCATAAGCATGCTCTTATTTCAATACCAGTTAATACCATATGGTATATATGAGTAAAAAATGGTTCAATTTTTTTGTTCCAAAAATATACCAAAGTGGATATCATTTTGAAAAACACAATTAATCTGATCTAATTGTGCAAAAAAAAATTAACTTTTGACTTACAACGAGTGAGCAATCGTCTGTTAAAGATTAAGGGGAAAATTAAAGTTTTTCCGGAGAGAGAAGTGGCGCTGATGTGGCGAATGGTAATTGGGTTATGCATGGTTATTGACCATAAGGTTATTGACCAGATCTGCTCCCCTTGTACTTGTATATTAGTGAGGGGCTAAGATCAGGTGACTAAGGTCTAAGGGAAGGGGCTTAGTCAATTGGCTAAATCAATCTCAGCCCTTACACATCATTGAAATCCAATGGCTCCAATTAATTCAATTAAATGAATGACAATGTAGTAATTGCATGACTTTATTAATTTTCAATATATTAATTAATTAAAAATCCTTATATTTCTGCCTCGTGACCCCGTCACTCTTTCCTGGTCGGGAATTTTCCCGGCAAACTCTCATTTCTTCTGCCGACCACGGATCCAGCACCCTGAAAATTTTTGCGGCATTTTCCTGCGTTCCGTTTCCTGGAAATGCATTCCCCATCCATGGAGTTCATGGGGGGGGGGGGGGGGGGGGGGGGGGAGGGAGAGATGTTTTTTCGTCGTCGGTGACTTTTCTGGCAACAGAGAGGATTTTCCGGCTACAACGTCTGTTTTGTTATGTTTGTCGAACGGTTTTGTAATGTTTGTAAGTATGTTTTTTGATTTTGTATCAATTCGGTTTGTATTATTTATCATTCTAGTTTGTCATTTTTATCTAAATATGTTTGTAATGTTTATATGACTAATTGTATACATTTTAATTTGTAATGTTTGTTTGTCTAGTTTGTATAATTTATGTTGTCATTTGTATACTTTGTATTCATTGATTTGTAATAGAAATTTACTGTTTTGTATTGTAAGTAGTTGCATTTTATACTGTTAGTATGTTTTGTAATGTTTGTATAGTTCGTAAGTTTCGTATTGTTTATAAATATATTTTTATGTTTTATCGCTCTAGTTTGTATTGTTCGTATGTTTGTATTGTTCGTATGTTTGTATTGTTCGTACTATTTGTAAGTCTAATTTGTATACTTCGTAATTTTTCATAATACCAAAACTACCCTTGTCATTAATTAAATAGCCATTCCCACTTTTTAACCGTCAGATTGCTTTGTCTAGATCTAAGGACTGGGAGGGGTTTAGTCAAGTGACTAAGAAATCCTTAGTCACTTAGTCACTAGTCATAGGTATAGGTGTCAATCAGGCGGGTTCGAGCTGGGTTCAATCACTTTCGGGTTCAAACGGGTTGTGGGTTAGTCGGGTTGCAGGTTCATCGGTTTCGGATTCAAACTGGTTGCGGGCAAATCGGGTTGCGGGTTCATCGGGTTTTGGGTGGGGCGGGTTGCGGGCGGATCGGGTTGCGGGTTGTTCAGGTCAGCGCATCGAGTAACTTACTCATTACTCATTACCAACTTACACATTTTATTACACTAATTTAAAATATTTTTCTCAACTTTTGAACCAATTTATATATAATTAAAAAAAAAACTAGTCAAAATGTTGAATCAATTTATATTACTTGCAAACTTGTTATATAATTAATCGTAATTGGTAAAGTACACTAGCTAATAGTAATGGTGATATCAACATTCGCAACCAAAAAAGACATCATTAATTGTTTATTTTATATTTTAGTATTATTTCAGTAGTAATTGGATTAAAGTATCTCGTTTAGTATAACCATGCAAATATGGTATTTTGCAAAAGTATAGTGATAAAAAGAGTTATTTTGAAATAACTCATTGCTCAAATAACTTCAGAGGTCATTTGGATGGAGTATTTGTATGAGTTATTTGAGTTCAAATAACTCACAATGAGTTATTTGGACGCAAATAACTTGTTTGACAGCGTTTTATTGAAATGAGTTATTTGGACAGTGAGTTATTTACAAATAACTTAAAACGAGTTATTTGAAATAACTTATACCCATGTGTTATTTCGAAATAACTCGTTTTATCACTCTGGTTTTACCAAATACCACATGTCAAATACCACATTTGCATGGTTCAACCAAACGAGATACTTTATTTCAATTACCACTGAAACAACACTGAAATATCACATGAACAATGAATGAGTTATTTGACTCTACAAATACCACATTGACAATTAACCCATCCAAACGACCCCAGTAAACTGTTGTCAAACAAGTTATTTGTAAAATTGTTCGAAATATTCTAATAATTGAACCATTAAAGATTAACTATTAAATTTAGTAAAATTGTTGTGATTTCAATCATAACTTACTCAATAACATATATCTTATACACTTAGCCTTACACTCAATCGACAATATTAAGTTAGTGTATGTTGTTGATCGTATACTCTAAACCATAAATACATTATAGACTAACCACATATCCTATACCCTAACCATATATCCTTATGAGTTGTGATTTTGCTAGTATAGTTAATTTAAATGTGAAATTCATACTTTGATGTTCAAAACATAGATGAAAAAGTGATATTTGCTAATTGCTATATCCTAACCATATATCCTATACTCTAAAACTATATACCCTGTACCCTAACCACAGACCATAAACATAAATTAAAAAAGGATCTCCTTCGGTTAAAGACTTTAAGTGAACATATGTTAATAAAATACTTAGAACCGTAAAAATCATTAATACCTTATACCCTAACCATATACACTCTAAATCATATGTACTTTAACAATCGTATGACTGAGTTATTGCAATCGTATGACTTAACATGCTAAGTTTAACCCCCCATTTTGAAATAAAAGTTCAACACGAACACAAATTAAATGTGTCAAAATTTTACTAAGTGATGTAAAATCACGATCAGGTAGTATTGAATTTGCAATAAATGTAGAAGTATAGAAAACAAGTAGATAAATTTAGTGATATGTAAAATAAATGATTGTTGTAACTAATGATTAATTTAGTTATTAGCCTATAAACAATTACATATATATATTAGCCTTCAAAGCATATAAGAATAAATTTAACTAGTCATGCCCTCCATAAAAATATTAAAGATTCATATTTCAAAAGCAAAAATTTTGAAAAACCAAAAAATTGAAAACAACAAATTTATTTCCTTTTTTTATTTAAAAAAAACTAAAAATTCTCTCTTTATCCTTCTATAAATTAGAAACACTTTGCATAAAAAAAAAAATTAGAAACACTTAACTTTCCCTCTTTTCTTTCTTCCATAAAATTGAAAGAACCAAAATTTCCTCCTTTTCTCTTCCATAAAATTGAAGAATCAAATTTTCCTCTTCCTTCCTTACACAAAAAGTTGAAAACTCAAAATTTTCTTCCATATTTCTCTTTCATAATCAGATGAACCAAACTTTCTCACTTCTTTCTCTTCCTACAAATCAAAACCACTAAAGTTCACCTTTGTTTCTTTTCTAAAAAATTCAAAGAATCAAATTTCTCTCTTCTTTCTCTTCCCAAAAAGTTGAATACACAAAAAATTTCCTCTTCTTTTAAAAGCATCAAATTACCAAATACATTACTTATGTAATTGATAATTTTATTGAATAGTTAAATTAACCAAAATTTAAATTTATATATTATAATAATATTGTCCATGATCACAATTATTAATTCTTCATTATTAATATTGACATTGTGTTGATTTTATATTTTATATTTACTTTTTTAATTTTGTTAAAGAACTTAGTGTTCAAGTGACGTTCATGTTTAACTTTTTGTAAATTTCTTAAAATACATAATATCACGTGAGTTTCATATTTTGTAAATTCCCAATACGAAATGAAAAAATAATTTTACCTAAGTTTAGAATGAAAAATTTTATTTTGAAAAAATATGGATTGTATAATATAATAATTATTCAAGTGGATTAGTTGAAGTTAGGGTTGAGTTGGTCGGGTTACCGATAAGTCGAGTTCGGATTAATCGGGTTCGGGTTAATCAGGTTGCGGGTCAATCGGGTTACGGGTCGGGCGGGTTACGGATTGTTGACTTTTAGTCAATTTCAAATTTCGGGTCAAATTAATCGGGCGGGTTAATCGGGGCGGGTTCTGTTTTGACACCTATAGACTAGAGGATCCGGACCCTATTAGTAGTGAGTCCTTCGTAAAGTTTCCCGGATCGGAAAGAAATAAAGGATCGTATCTCTTCAAATATAGTATCTTTTGCTAGCTTCATCGTTCTGTCTTTTGTTGGGTATTCTGTTCAACTCCTCCGTTGATTTCCGCCAATCCCTTTTCAGTATTCTCTTAACTCTAACGGCGGGTTTCAGATTCAACTGGTGAAAAGTGTTAACTGTTGCGTTCGAAGAAGTTTAATTAGAGAGGATATTAATGGAAGAAGGCAACAGAGGAAGCCAGTTCAAGAGGATCTGCGTGTTCTGCGGAAGCAACTCTGGCAATAGAGATGTCTTCAGTGACGCGGCTCTTCAGTTAGGGGATGAACTGGTTGGTCCTCTTTAACGTTTTGATGTCTTTTTCAGTCAGTTGTTTGCGTTGATGGGTGATTATTGACCTATCTGGACTATCGGTTGACTTCGTTTCTTGTATTGTGAAATCGGCTTTGGGTTGTTTTGACAAGTTCTGTATGTGGGCGCAATGTTCGACTTTGTCGCCATATCATATCTATCTGGGTAGTTGAGTTCCGAGCTTTGGATTACAATCGGGGCAGCCAAGTCGAATTTGTTTGAATGTTTCGTGCAATTCAGTTCCTGACTACTTGTGTGGCTAGCTATGCTTCATATCTGTTTGTTTTGTTTGGCCCAACCCTTCTGTTTCGCTTGCACCAACGAATTTCACTTTTGAAATCTTTGTACTCACAGATGGGTTGTGGATTTCAGGTTAAGAGAAGGATAGACCTTGTTTATGGTGGAGGAAGTGTTGGACTAATGGGTCTGATATCCCAGAAAGTTTATGATGGGGGCTGTCATGTTCTTGGGTAACTTACTAACTCCCTAACCATCAGAGTTAACTGATGTCAGCCACGAAAGAGGAATGTGGTTGGCACAGTTTTGATGGTTCTGAAAGATTAACTCTTGTTCTTACTTCTTCTTACTTGTCTCCAATGCAGTGTCATCCCGAAAGCACTGATGCCTATTGAGGTGTCCATTTATTCCCCTCTTTTGGTTTGACTTTCTTAATTCTCTTCTGAAACAGTGTCTGTGGCCTTGGTTGGATACAATTTCTTCCATGGGTTGGTAATGGATTGAGTTGCCTAAAAATGAATCTGCTTTTTCCTTTGAATTATAAGACTTGTGATTTCCTACGTCAAATTAACCCGAATTGCCTCTTGTCAAGTGAAATTACCTGCATTGTTATCTGGACTTTCCAAAACCAATGTTAAGGCTATGAAACATAACGTGATGCATTCGGGTAAAGGAAAGAGAGAAGTGTTAAGCAGTTTGTAGTAGGTTTGTCGAAGTTGCCACTAAATCTTTGTTGTTCCTGGACATATTTCAGATTTCAGGTGAATCGGTGGGAGAAGTAAGAACAGTATCAGATATGCACGAGCGTAAGGCTACAATGGCCAAAGAAGCGGATGCTTTTATTGCTTTACCTGGTACACACACGCAGGAGAAATGTTGAGGGTAATGATAACATATAACTTTTTGTATAACTAGTAACCTGTTGTGCCGTATTCTTTCAGGGGGATATGGAACCATGGAAGAACTGTTGGAGATGATTACATGGTCGCAACTTGGTATTCATGAGAAACCGGTAACCCATTGGTCTTTGCCCGACATTCTATTAAGTAACTGCTGGCTATCTAATCTAATCTAATCTAATCTAATCTATGGGTTCCATTTATCTGTTGAAATTGTTGGTATCTATTATCAGGTTGGACTGCTAAATGTTGAGGGCTATTATGATAGTTTACTATCACTATTTGACAAAGGTGTCCAAGAAGGTTTTATCAAGCCTGGTGCTCGCAGCATAGTTGTGTCTGCTCCAACGGCAAGAGAACTTCTGGAAAAGATGGAGGTATTTTCTCTGTACACCTTCAATCCTTGAATGACTGACTCGTTTACAATATGAGTCGACAAGGTGAAAGTGATAAATAAGGTTAGGAAATTTGATAATAAGAGGTGCTTTTTGCGGGAAAGAAACCCCGTAATGGGGTCTGTTTCATTTTAGTTGCACTTCAGCAATAAGTACATGTACCGTTCTAGGCAGTATAGCACAGAGTCCCATTTCAGTAAACAACAATTCTTTTGTTCTCTTCTGCTCGAATTCTGTTTTTCCTGAAAACAGCACAAAATAGAAAACGTAAGTTCTGTATATGTTTATCTCAAAGTTCTGTATAACTGACAACTCATATGACAGTGATTTCAGTTAATGCCTTGACTGGACACGTTGTGCAGTGAGTTTAGGATTTATAGTCTTTATAGCCTTGTTTGGTCTGGGCCAAATGACTTAGAGTAAACATCTTCGGAATTGTTTCCCTGCAGCTATACATCCCATCGCATAAACATGTAGCTCCTCACAAGAGCTGGAATATGGAGCAATTGGGCGATTATCCAACAAACCAGAGCACATAATCAAGTGTGGATGACAGGTCTTCTCTCACCGGTTTTAGCAAATGATCAACTATGTGATTTTTTGTAACGAAGGATTGACCCGTCTTTATTGTTTCTTGCCTGTTTGTGATGAAAGAAAGGAGAATAAACTCTCTCGGTCGTATATTTTTACGAGACTTAATTGAGTTATAGTCATTTTGACCATACGAAACTCCCAAATGACTCTATCAAGTCATTTTCAAATGACTCATTATTTAGTTCAAATGTTCCAACTATGTTCTTGCCCTACTTTATGTAAACCCACTTCTATCCTTCTCTTTCTATTATTTGTTTTCTATGTCATTACTTCGTCTCCTCTCGGAATTATTTTTTTCTCCCAAATTTCATTAACAGTGAAGAAGAGGATCGGTCATCTACGTAACGCGTATCATTTTCGTTCACAAGCACTACTATTTGTAATTAGCTTAAAGTTCAAGACTTATGGAGGCGTTATCCTTAATAAAAAGAGTTAACATATAATTATATTTAAAAGACTAAATTATACGTTTGGTCACTCAAATTACATAAATATTTCACATTTTCCATCCGAATTACTTTTCTTTCTTATTCGCCACTAACTATAAGTAATAATTCTGTAAATATATAATAAGGATCCAGTTACTAGCGGTTAGGAGGCTCATTAGGGTTTCTGTTAGTATATATTAGGAGTCATTAGTTGCTTGGGGGGTCAAATTTCATGTTCTCCATTGGAAAATTTGCTTCATGGTGATAGCCCGTACGCTGGTCCGGTGTACTGACCAACATCTTGCTAATTTGTACTCCTAATAGTGCATTCAGATTTTAGTTGCTAAGAAGTTCAAGCACGAATAATGTGGCATTTTTTTACAATAAAGCTGATAACCTGAGTGATTCGGGCCTAATTGTACACATATTACCCCTCATTTCTTGATAGTTTGACTTTGCATTTCATCATCCCTCGACATATTTCACACTAGGTTGTGCTTGTTTTGATACATTTCAGGTCCTAGCACGTGTGGAAGGGTCGATGACGAGTTTTGGGATGATTGAAGGTCGAAAAAAGCGCGAAACCCCGAAGAAAAGTCCAATAGTGAAGCGCAGGCGTCCAGGTTTCAGGCCATGTTCACGGTTTCCCATTGGAGTTCACGGTCTCCTAAGGCCACGAACTGAAGCCATAAACCATGAACTACAAAGCGGCCAGAGCGATTTCTAAGGTTACTAACGCCGAGTGAGTTCCTGGTCACCAAGACCGTGAACTTTGATTTCATGGCCGTGAAGTGAGCCTGATCCCAGTATAAAATGCGAGCTGAAAGGAAGAAAGGGGGGGAGAGCCCCAAAGGGGGGAGAGCATTCTTCTTGAAACCCTAGAGAGAAAAAGTGACGAACCAAGATGGAGAAAAGGCTAGGGTTTGTTCCAAGTGAAGATTTTGGAAGATCCTTTCCTAAGGATCTTCTTCTACAAGCACAAGGAGGGTTGGAGGCATCACAATGATGGTTTCTTTCTTCTTCTTTTGTGTTCTTCCTTTATCTAGCATGGAGTAGTTTCCTTTTTCACTTAGGTGTTGTAGAACCCTAACTCCTATCATGTAATTGATTGTGTGGATTGAATGATTGTGTGACGGAGGTGTTTAATTTAAGGTTTGAGGTATTATTCATGAATGATTGTGTTGTGTGAAAGCCTATCAATCTAATTGCCATTCTAACCTAGCTTAGAGAGGAGACCTCCTTTGGTTAAGAGGCTATTTTAGAGATGGGTTTCCTTGGGCATTCCATGCCTTCTATTCTAGGTTAATTAAGGGCAAACCTCTAAGCTTGAATTAGACATATGGGTTAATTGTGATTATATCGTCCAAACCTATGGTTTGAGGGAAAAGGTAAGTCACCCTAAATTGCTTGGGCCAAGAGAGCTACAATTGTAGCCTTTGACCCCTACCTTGGCCTAGAGATTGGGAGAATGGTTTCCAACCATTGTTGCACCTCCAACGGGTCACAATTGCCTCATCACACGCCGCTTTATTCAATCCCATGGTTCTTGGTAGTTGGTTAGGGGAAAGGAACACCCGAGTGAAGCTCCTCACTTAGAGTTTTCCACCCATTTTACCTTACTTGTTTGTTTTCATTTGTAGTTTTCATAGTTTTAAACCCCAAACCGTTTTGCTAGATAACAACTTAAGTGATTGAAGTAGGGGGTACATGGACCGGCCCGGGTTTGACAATTAAATACTTGCCCTATACTGCACCCGACTAGAGTTTAAAAACTTGGGCTCTAGTCGGGATTAATTCGCGGTGTATTTTCGTGCGAGTCATTGAGTGAAGAAAAGCCATACCCTAAATGAACATAGAAAAGTTAAAAAATACTTCAGAAGTACTAAGCAAACTCCAGTTTAAGGTCATAAAGAGCAATAGCTATGGTTTAAGTAACCATTGAGCACTGTTTTCTAGCATATACAACAGATTAATAGAAGATAGTGTACTTTTTGTTTGTAGGTTGTCATGCCTACTGTAGAAGCAGATGAATCCTTTAGTCTTTGAAAGTTCGACCTCTCAAATGATGAAGTGAGGCGTAGGGTGGCGAAAGTTCTTGATGCAGTCAGCATGGCTTCCTACATGCCATAAGAGGATTTGAAAAATAAAGCTTGTGGAGGATCACAAATTGCATTTTAGTCATTTATGTTTTATTTTAATATGCATTTTGTGTAGAGAACTGTGCAAACTCTGCGTGGTGATCAGAACATAGGGTTGCAATTGCTGGTGCTCTAGATGGAGTATGTAAAGTGCTCTTACTGAGCTGACAACGTTCTTAGATGAAAAGGATCGGGTTAGTCTCTTGCCACTGGCTTTACTATGGTTCCTGTGGTTACGGGAGTCATCATTGCCATTGGAGTAAGGACTAATTTCTCTCAGTATTCAACTATCAGGTTAGATTTTAGCCGGTTGATTTTTTGTAATGGGTTATGGTGTTCTTATCATTTCATTGCTGAAGTGGGGGTACAAATTGGACTCTATCAGTGAAATTCATTTCAAGCAGCCCTTCTCTTTGTTAAATGGTTATGTATTCTTCATTGCTTCTTTAATGATTGCTTTTTGAATGTTCATATGAGAGATGACAAATGCTCAGGACACCTGCAAGCTATTCAATTGAATCTATCAATTTTGGTTGCTTTTCTGCGTCATTTACATGTAGATGGAGTTTACGGATTCGGGTTGGTTCTAATCTACATCCTTTCTGCGTCCATTGCAATACGGTGAACCTAGCTTCCTTCTATCTGGGTTTATAATGTGTACTGTTGGTACAACAACAAGGTCTTTTAAGTTAGTCTTCCAGGGTATATTGCTTTCTTTTGAGGGGTAATTTTTTCTTCGTGCTACAAGTACTTTTGAAATGATTTCGAAATTGGAAAGTTTGATATGCTGGGAATGTATGCCGATATCTTAATTTTTTTGTTATTTATGTCTGAATGCAGAAGCTAAATTCTAAGATGGTTAGAAAATATATAGTATTAACAAGAAACTAACTTTACCTATTTAAAATCCTTGAACTCCTCAACTTTTGTTTGTCAAACTTTATCTTGCATCTGATAACACGATATTTACACGTGTTTATACCCTCATTTCTTGATCAATTTGGATTTATTAGTGTTCTCCTTTCCTATTTTACGCTAGTTTGTGTTATCTTGTGAAAGAACCCTCTTGTTAAAGATTCTAGAGACTGATCTTCGGCACCCGTGAGATTGGGATTTAGGGTTGAGATGAGGGATTTAGATTAGAAGAATAGAATTAGGAATCGGCTAAGGCCTTGGATTAGGAGAGAATAGAAACTAGGAGTTGAGAGGAATTAGGTTTAGAATGATACTTTGCTTAATACTATTCTTGATTGATTATGATGTAAACCCAAAGTACATATTTATAGGAAATAAACTCAAAACCCTAATGAACTAATCCTAACCTAATCGGCCTAGGTTAGCCGCCAAACCCTAACATTATTCTAATATATCTCTCTAACATTCCACCCTCCTTCAAAGCGACCTTGTCCTCAAGGTTGCAGTCAACTTCCGTCTTCTTGATCTTCCGCTTTCTTCGCTTCCAATTGAGCTCAATTCTATAAATTAATCTTTCTCCAGCAACTTCCACTTTCCACGACTCTTCTCCCTCCACGGGGAACCTACGTCCCAGCCCATAGCCGAACAATTCTTCCTCTTTCTTTTCGAATTCCACGAAATAAGGATTGGAGAATTGTTCTTCCTTGTGCTCCATTAGTTGGTCTTCAAGGGTGTGCTCCATAATTTCCACAATGGGCTTAGTGGTGAAAATAACCCATAGCTTCTCCTTCTTAATCTCTGTTGGGCTTGGACCCCTTGTAAGCCCATATGCTAAGGTAAGAACCCACTCTTTCTTTTCCTCCCAGCCCACCTTTTCTAAAACACAACCCAGATTGGGCTCAACCTTCTCCTGCAAAATAGACCCAATAAGAGAGCAAACAAGTGTCCCAAGTCTCACTTGACTCGGCCCGCTTGGTTGATCAAGCTCAACTGACCTCTTTGTCTCTTCCCAATTTGCCTCTTTTTATCTCACCCAAGCCCATAAGTCAAGTGTTTCGGCCCAAGATGAATCCAGATGGTGACCTCTCTTTTTCCAGTTTGCTCCCTCCAGACCTTCTCGGACCACGACAAGCCCAGCGAGCCATAGTTTTGGCCCGTCACAGTTGGCCCAACCCGCTTGGCCCAACGAGGCGAGTTGCTGCTGTGATCCGCGACCCAAACAGGAGGCCTCCTGCCTAGGGTTCTTGAGGCAGAGAACCCCGCCACCCAAAAACTCCTTCTTCCTCGATGTCGCCTGCTCGATCGAGAAGAGGGAAGAGCCGCCGCTGCCCTCCTCCTTCCCCCCCCTCTGGCGAGTTCTTCGGCGCCAACTTCTCTCTCGGCGAACCTACCGCCTCCTTCTCCGGCTGCGAGCTCCTCCTTGGCGGCGACGAGTTCATCCGCGGACAGCCAAGCGGCCAGTCCGAATCCACCGCCGCCCTCTGTTTCATCTCGCCCTCCCATGGCGACTCAAGCTCTGGCGGCGTCACCCGACATGCGCAAGATGATCTTGTTGCATCGAAATCCATCTTCATTGCCATCTTCTTCGCCGGCTTCCTCTCCGTCGAACGGGATGCTTTCGCCAGATCCGCCGCTCTACCCTTTGTTTTAGTCGACGGGTGCTCCATCTGGAGGCTCGACACCAGCTCCGCCTCCTCCCGTTCGTCCACGTTGAGGGCCATGGTCAATGATGATTGTTCATCTGGCAGTTTCCTCGGCGGTGGAAGGGCGGGATTTGGGGAATCCTTTGCCGCATTGGGACTCACTCCCAGTTCTTCTTCCTTGACCGTCGCATCCGAATCCACCTGCTTTGGAGAAGTGGCAGCACCTGCCGGCGGTGGGGTCGCTACTTCTTTCCTCCCATCTTTTGACGGCGGTGCATTCCCCAAGCGACAGGAAGGCAGGCCCGATCCGACGACCTTCCTTTCGTCCTCCGTCTCGATTTCGCACGCGGCCTCGTCACCAGCAACCAGCACCGCTTCCTTGTTGCGCTCTCCCACTGTCTCGTTCCCCGCCCTCTGCATCTTCATCTCCGCCTCAAACTCCGACGGTGGCTCGACCTCTACCGGCTTCCTCTTCTTCATTTTGCCACCCGGCGTCGAGCTGTTTCCTTGACCGCTAGGCGGATCTGTCGCTTCTTCCTTCGTCGGCTCCATCAACGCGGCGGCTGCGGCTTTGGGTGGGGCTGCCCGCGCGATGTAGTTGATCTTCGGCACCCGTGAGATTGGAATTTAGGGTTGAGATTATGGATTTAGATGAGAAGAACAGAATAGAATTGGGAATCGACCGAGGCCTTGGATTAGGAGAGAATAGAAATTAGGAGTTGAGAAGATAAACTAGGGTTTAGGAGATTCTTCTTAATATTGTTCTTGACTGATTATGACGTAAACCCAAAGTACATATTTATAGGGAAATACTGGAAAACTATAATAATAATCCTAATACGACTAAATCTCTACTAACCATAATTATAATTATCTTACTTAATATAATAATAAAAACCCCAAATAAATGTGTTTCTGACATCTTGTCAGGTCCTAGTGAGTAAAGGAAGACATAGGCGCAAGTTTCAGGTAAATCAAAGGTCGTTTGGTCACTCAAAAGCCTCTCAAAAGGGGAGCTGAGGAAGAAACACGGGTAGGCTCTCTACAAAGCACGGTCGTGTTTCATCTAGCACTTGCCAGTGTTTTTTATGTCGAGCATAGTGACGATCCAGAAGCAAACATGGGCAAGCTTCCCTAAAAACACGACCGTGTTTTGTTTAGCACTTGCTAGTGTTTTTTTATGTCGAGCCTCTCTTGTGAAGATTGCTGAATAGATGCAAAACACGAGCTGGACTAAACACGGGCAGGACTAAACACGATCGTGTTCCCGACTGTGTTTCTGCCCCTGCTCGGGTATAAGTCTGATTTCTGCGATTTTAGAGAGGGAGAGTTGGGTTTTGGATCTCAAACACCCAAGGGACGAACCAGAGAGAGAGAGAGAGAGAGAGAGAGAGAGAGAGAGAGAGATCTAGTGCCATTCTTGGAGCTATTTTGAAGGATTCTTCACCATTGAAGCTCAAGGAACAAGTCTAGACATGAAGATTGAAGATCAGGCAAGTTATACTACAATCTCTCTCTTCTCTATAGAGTAACTTCCCTTCCCTTAGATTTTGAGGAACCCTAGTTCCATGTGTTAGGATCTTTCTTGTTTGAAACCTAGAAACTGCTTTTCTTAATCGCTCTCAGCTTTGTCTTTTTCTGTTGTCTGTAAGGTAAGATTACTTCCTGTTGAATTTTTGTTGTGTTTTTTTTTTTATTTGAACTAGAGCAGAGTGACATTGTTGGGAAAAGTAGAGAGGAAACATATGCGCTAAGAAATACATATGAAGATTTGTGCGTGCAAGTTGAAATTGAATAAATGAGACTGACGTGCTTTCCTATTTGAGAGGATCTATTCACGTTTAAGGGGTGAACTGATAGATTCCGAAAAAGCCCTAGATAGCTCCATTTCCGCAGGAAGGATTTATGAATTAGTAGATCTTTTGCCTACATGCAAGAATGGTCCCTACTTGGATTATGTCAGTCTTTCATTTGAGTCAAACTTATATTAAGCTTCCTCAATTTATACCAAATGCTCCATTGCATCTTTTTTCTTTCAGTAGGAGGAGCTCCTCTAATTGTGGTCTCTATTCGATACTTTCTTCACTTGATTTCTAGGTTTCTGTCCCGATTGAATTTTTCACCTACCAATTCCATCAGTGAAGAATAACAAGAAGTTAAACGACGACATCGCTTCCACCAGAAGGTTACTTATCCACAAGCTTCAACTTTGCTATCTGGACTGCAAGCTATGGGCACAATTGCTTTTTAATTTCAACTCTGAGCCGCCGATGCCATTTCTGGGCATAACTTTGGAGCCCACAGTTTCTTCTAACATGTATTTCAATTGCAACTACTCATTTCATTTGGTGTTCTTACGTCTCGCCTCCTTGCTCCTTAATTTAATCGGATTTTGATAGCTCAATTGATACCGACTACTTCATCCTCTGCTCTTGCCTACTTTACTGCTATATGAGATTCTTACAACCTGCTAGCATTCATCAATCAACAAAGCCCACCATGTGAGCCCATATTCTTGATGGCAAGAAATACTACTTCATGGTAATATCACAGAGAACATGTCAAATTTCTAGAACAGTAACAGGACTAACATGAGTGTGAGTATAAAGACTGAAAACACAGTATCCACAACATTTACTTTGATCAGCGTCACCAATCTCAAGTGGTTTATGATATAGAGTTTGATGCACTAAACATGGACGAAGAAAGTTCCACCAGAATGCCTAAGCAAGCTTCCACCAAGTTGTCTAAAATTCCTTAGCAGAAAACTTATTCAACAATTGGTAATCTGTGCCGGTTGTGTATTTTTTTACTATAAGCTTTTAGAAATGTCGATTAGAAGAACATGATCTGAACTTTCATGACTAGAGAAAAAAAGCATGATTCATAATTAGAAAAAGGAGACCCATGATCTGAACTTCCTTTGCAAAGTTAACTGTCAATCATGTTAAAAGGATTTAGCTGTGATAAAGCATAAGTTGGTGCTCCCTGGTTAGTATCGACACATGTGTGACATAGAAGCCTCTCTCTTTCTCACTGCCCATTTGTTGTTGGAAAATAGAGGTGAATCCTCTAACCCTTAGAACTCCCTATCATTTGAGTTACTTTTGGTGCCTGCTTGATGGGTTTACGCAAAAGGAAGAACAAAGGAATACTGAAAATCTTGCATGTGAATGATTTCACATCAGTTTCAGTTTGATTTTAAAAAAGTTGTTCAGCTAGTAGCTATATCGTCCCGAATATCACAATAAAACTTTCAATTAGGGCCCAAGTATAAACCTTAATTGGGTTTAAGTATGTTTAAATATCAACTCGGGCCGGTCCATGTATCCCTACTTCGATTGTTTGAATCATTATGTAGCGATTGATTTTTGGTGAAAACAACGATCGTTAGATCCAGAAAACAACATCCAGAGAGGCTTGAAACAATTTAAAACATCTAAAAATACGTTTCTGGAAATTCCCAACAGCTTTAGTGACCAATCAAAATCTGTCACTAAAAGCCTGTAAAGCCTGTTGCTAAAACCCCAGAATTCTACCCTCATGAAAAATCACCAAATCAATCGGTCAAAGGGATCGAGTTTCCTTACCTCTAGAACATGCCTAGGCCTAGGTTGGATGACCCGGGACATTGATCTCCTTGTTGATCGAACCTCAAACGTCACCGCTAATAAAATACGAGCTTCACATTAGGCTATCGATAAATCGAGTTTAGAAATCGCAATGGGGTTCGTGATCCTTACTTAGAAACGCGAAAGGGATGAGATCGGAATCGGGGCCGGGATCGGTAACAGGGGCGGCAGTGGTTGGAAGCTGGCGCCCCCTCTTTTCCTTCTTCTTCTCGCGGGGAAAAAGAATTACCGGCGGCTCGATGGCCAAAGGCAATTGGCGGCGGGGTGGGGAAATTGCAGAAATGGGGAAATTGTAGAAGTGGGCAGGGGAAGGGTTTGGTGGCGTGGTTTTTGCCTTTTTGGGAAAACCAAATTGGAAGGGCGTGGGAAATTGTGAGGGTTGGGCCGCCCCGCGGCCTCTTGAGTAGATTTATATTTTTTTTAATTAATGTTATAATAATAAAATTATAATAATAATAATAATAATTATTATAATATTATTATTCTTAATCTGCGATTGTAACTCTTAGTACGTACCGTCAATCCAACCGATCACGTATTAAATACGAACTTAACTCTAAAATACCGGGGTGTTACACAAAAACCAATAATATGGAACCTCTATAAGATGCATAAAGGTTATTTTTCATTGTAGACACAAAGAAAGAAAGTTACACGGCTCAAATGGCTGACTACGGGGTATGACACACCTGGACAGTCAATTTGGTCGTGGGTTAATCCTATGCCTCCATCATCCTAATTAGTGGCAACGTGAATGCTACACATCATGGAAGAAGGATCTATCGCACAAGATAGAAACGAGCAGGCACAAATCTCACATGGCTACCTATATGCTCTATCTCTCATTCTGATTTCCTGGACTAAATGACGGTAAAAAATGAGTGATCAATCCAAGTCGCAGATGGTAAGCAAACGTTTGAAAAACTGAACACCTACAAAACTCTACTGCACGTCTCAGTCATCATTATAGGTTGTCTTAGTCAAAAACAAGTTATCATGCATCAATGCTAAAAGCCAACCGATTCACCACATAAAACCATAGAGCCAATATGATCATGCAAACATCAGTACTTGGAGCCCTCAAATCTCGAGATTTGGACAATTGACTAGGCTCTTAGCACACAAATATAGGTTCCAATCAACACAAAGCACCCCCCACACTTAAGTTTGACATTGCCCTCAATGGAGCAGAGGGAAGGGGAACGATGATGATCGGAGGCGACGAATGGAGAGTGGACCAATCAGGAACATGAGACTTGAAGGGGACCAGTCAAAAGGCACAGAGCTGGAGTCATCAAAACATACTAGGTGATAGAGAAAACAGACCATAGTTCCATGTGCACAATCCAAAAGAGAAACAAAAGGAGAGAAAACTGACAATAGAGTCTGGCTCTGGAAAGAAAGAAAAATATATAACCCAGCAACCCATGGGGGATCAGTCGGAGCCAACCTAGTACTCATCGCCTCCATCGCCAGTAGGAGGTGGGTAGTCATCCTCATGCCCCGGTGAAGCCACCTAGGGGTACTAAACAGAAACAGAGTTCATGCCAAGGTAGTGCATTATGTAATGTAGGCCCGAAATGTAGGGTGGCGACCATCCCACTCACGCTCCAGGCAATGGTGGAGGTCAGCCTGCCCCGCGAGAATCTGATCATCTTGGCGAGCGATGGCCGCCAACTTATCAACAAAAGAGGCAGAGGGAGCGATAGAAGGCCCGACAGAAGAGCTAGCTGGGACAGCTGTAGAGGTGCGAGTGGGCGTAGAAGGTCGAGGAAGCCATTTGATCCATCGTTAAAAGCCCGTCGCGGGCAAGTAAGAGCTGGTGCCTGAGAGTTGTCGAGGGAGTAGATGTCCGGATCATGGTCATGTTGGTCAAATCGACCTCAAAGTATCGGGCCAAAACAGTGATCAATGGCCCACAGGAAAGTGGGAGGTCGCGACCAAAAGCCTTGGGGAAC